AAAAATTATTTTTTATATACATTCCGTGATTTACTTACTAAGTTGCCTTGATAGAGTTGCCATGGAAGAAATGAGCAAGAAAGGTTGTAAAGGGCCTTCCCACAAAATTCTTCCAAGAACTCGAGTATGTCACTCTGACATTTGGTATGATCATTCCAGATCTTCAGTGAGTCCTCTTCTGTATATTTTTAGCTATTCTACTCAAATCAGGGCATGTCTGCAAGTCAACCTTCTAGGGCAGTTTGACGAGGTAGGTCGACTACACAGAGAGTGAGGATGCCGTTCAAACACGTCCACAGTGCTTTCAGCCTCCAAAAGATTTTTAAAAATAAGTAATTGATTCTCATCAAGATAAGAGATCATGAGATGCCTCCAGATATTTTTTTTCCTGTAAGTTGATTTTGGGGGAGACAAACTCGGTCTCCCCCAGCAGGCCTGCCAGCTCAGACTGAGCCAGACATGAATGCCATGAGTCCTGGGCTGGTGCACTCAGGGTGGATTGCCTCTCGGTCTTCAGGGCAAGGTCATTTCCCAGGAGGTAGACGGTGAGAGGTTGGCCCAAAGGAGCCTGGGGCTTAGCCACCTGGTGCCCAACAAGGATGTCTCAGCAGTGCATTTGGGTCCCCCAGAACAAATGCTTGTGTGCATGGAATCTGCCTTGGACATTTTCTGAGGTGCTCATGACGTATCGCTAACAGGACTGATGCAACACGGTTGACCGGTCTCCGCTCATGATGTGTAGTAACAGGCACTTTAGTGTGGACATCCGTTCAACTGGGAGAAAGTGTCCTGTTTTAGATGTCTTTCTTAATATAACTATTTATCAAATCCTCATATTTATTTTCAAAAGAGGGGGGCATGATAGCACATGGAGGAAGCACTTTAAAGATATTCTTACCAATAATTAATTGATGATACAAGTTGTCAGTGGATTTAATGATTTCCATTTTGCCCACCCTATCTCAGGACAGGGGTTTTGTAAATGGGAGAAAACAACACGGTAGTAGGTTGTATGTCTTGCTGAGGGACAAATCAGGGACAGGCAAGAAGCAGGGTGGTCTGTTGTCACATTTTTGAGATGTGCGCAAATGCAAAATCATATAGTTTTCATGATTATGTATTTTAATGTATAGACATTAAGTTATGTTTTGATATTAGGGGATATATCTCATGATCTCATGATATATCTCATGTGGGTTTGATCAGTGACAGTTCCTATATAGGTCCAAGCAGAATGTGTCCTTGGGTGGGGAGTAGTTGAGAGAAGCCATGAGCACACAGGGCGTTCTGGGAGGTTTGGGCTCACAGGTCTCGTTGATGTCTTAGATCCACAAAAGCAACACAAACCCAGTTCACTCCTACTTGAGAAGGACTAGTTCCATGAAATCAGAAATCCAGAAGTTTTGTGAATGGTCCTGATATTTTTTTTTTTCAGATTTTGCTTGGATTCTGCAAAACTTAAGCACTGTTTAAAACATTTTATCATGATTTTTCCCATTGCCATTCTTAAATGTCTTTTTAAGACCGATATTTCCAGACAGATGATAACATGCACTACCCCAAATTATTTTCTCTTGGTGTTACTTAAACCCCAAGACAAATGTAAGATCATGGATAAGGCACAAATGTTTTTTGTCTTGAAGACATCCATGAGGCAGCAAGTCTAGCTCTAAGATTATTTGTTCATCATGTGCGTTCTCAGAGTATTTCCACCAAGAGTACCTTTGGAGGGGAAGAGAAGCGATATTTGAGGCAAGTGTTTTATGTCACAGAACTTTGCATCTCTAACCACGGGAACTTAAAATAGCCTTGGTGCTCTTGTCCCTGGTAACTGCCAGGAAGCGCGGAGGGCGGTGAGGGTCTGGTGTGCTTCCCCGCGGCTGCCGAGGACTTCGGCGCGGAGAACCTGTGCCTGCCTTATGGGGAGTTTCCATGGAAACCCAGTCAATCTCTTCTGCCATTTCAAAACCCAAGCTGTGCGGCACATGGTACTGTCTGATTTTATCCACAGGGGATTTTGATTACCCACATGGGCCTCCCTTCACGGAAAAGATGTGATCTTAGATGGGTAGATGCAAATCGAATTTTTGTAAATCGATTTTACACCACCCCATTATCAAGGGTCCTGCAGCTGGCTCCATCTGAGAAGCAAAGACTCCTTTTGTTAGGTGAATAATCACTCCTTCATTCACCAACTTCAGAAAATTGTATTTTTGAGGGTTGAGATTTCTTAAAGCTAGGAAATCTGTATGTAAATCTAAGAATTTAAAAAAGCCTTAAAGTCTTGAACAGCAACAGAAAAATGACTACGTAGAGCTGATAGAAGAAGGAAACCGTTCTGGGCTGCCTTATGTGGTCCAGAAGCACCACCTAAAGATGAAAGAGCCGAATTACTAGCCCTGACAAAGCCGGGAGCAGCTGGGCTGTGTCAGGGGAAGGCAACAAAGAAAGGCCGTGGGCTCCTCTAAGCAGGCATCCCAAGCCCCAGCCCTGGGCTACAGCACTGGGCTTGAGTAGGCAAAGGGGTGAAGGCAGGAGAGCCTCCCTGGGAAGGAGCTCAGGGCAGGCCCGGGTGCAGCTGTGCAGGGGTGTGGCCGGCAAGGAGCAGACTCAGGTCACACAGCCTGCACGCTGCAGGCCTGGGACTACACCCCATCTGCCTGACTTGAAGCCTTGACAAGAAGAGCAAACCTTTTAAGAAAGCAAGAACTCTTTCTGGAAATGTTTTTTCTTTCCCAACACAGTGGAAGCTCTGAAAATGGGCCAAATCAATATTTTGTTTGTTGTTTGTATGGTGATGGAGGACATTTTAAACGCCTCTTTTTTTTTTTTTTATTGCCTTTGTAAATGGCTTAAACACACAAAATCTACTCTGAAAATCTTTCTCTCTTTTTTTTATAATTAGTCAAATCTGATTTTCATTTGCATTAGTTTGGTTATAATGCCTCACTTTAAATCTGAACAGAATATGTCAACCTCCTACAGCCCTCACCAAAAAAAGGCATATTGAAAAATTTCTACTCATGTTAAAATGAATAAATTTTAAATAAATTTGCACTGAGTGCTTAAATTAGGAAAAGTTTGGGGATTTTTTTTCTAAAGCAAAAAGCAAGGCCAAGTGTATATTATTGGCTAGTAGGAAACATTTCTGTTTCTTGATACATTTTCCAAACAGAAAGTTGCATGAAGATGAGCTTCTCTTAGAATGATTTTTATTGCTCTCAAATCGTCCTCCCTCTGTGAGCGCTCTGGGCTGGGGCTCTACCCACACGAGGTGCCCTGTGGGAAGTCAGCCAGCGAGGTCGAGTCATCCCCCTTATTATCTAGAAAGTAATTACTTAGCAATGGGCAGAGGAGTCTTGTGATCAAACTTTAATTGTACATAACCAGCTGTTACTTTAACAAAAATCAGGTCAACAATCCGATTTCAGGTTGTTGCTGTTCTTGATACATAGAGTCCACTTTAAACGCCCCATTGTTCTGCCTCAGATGCCTGTTTTAAAAATTCTGGTTCCAAGTGTGCACACCAGTGATGTTTGCCTCCCCACTTGCCTGTGTGCCCTCTCTGTGGGCTGTAAACTGAACTCTAACCTTTAATATGATACAGCAGACACCAAGGTCCGTACCTCGAGAGCTAGTGCTCTGGCCCCTTTCTGAGGACTGAAGGAAGTGTAGACAGTGTCCGAATACCAAACACTGTTTACGCACGTGAGTGTCGGCACAGGACGCCCCCCAGTCCCCTCCCTGTGCAATGCCGAGGGACCCGCAGGGCGCAGGGGAGCGAGTATTCACTGGCCCCGGCTCAGCATCCCGTTTCCACCGGGACTCTCTGAGTGCAAAGCAAACTGAAACTCCTTAGAAGCAGTAGACATTTATTAACTATTCAAAATGTATGATTTTTGTCCTTGCCAGGAACTCGGGGGCTCCCTGAGTAGGGGCAGGGCACAGGACATGACCCAGGTGTTACTGCTGGGTGCAATGTTGCTTACTAAGTCTTTTCATCCTTGGTGGAGTTTGTGTTTTTTTGGTTTTTTGGTTTGTTTTTTTTTTAAATATACAAAGTTTATGGAAAAAAACTTTTTCTTAACTTTTGTCCTTAATTTTTACATTCCTGGTAGGTACAAGAAAACTAAAACAGCATGAACTGAAATGTCTTGTAGTGCCACCTGATTGTTCTTGAGAAGGCTCATTTAGGAAGCTGTATGAAGGGCAGTAATTATAAAACTCTTTTTAAAGCACATTCTGTCCCATTTGGGCAATGGCAGTGTGGTAGTTAAGAACCCAGGGGACGTGGCCTCGCTCGGCTCAAACAGGTGTAGTGCAGGTATCGAGAAGTACTTGCCATACCTGGTTGATCGAGACACCTGTCCTCCACTTGGGTCAGTTAAAAAGGCTTCAAGGCAACTCAAACCTATCTGATTGCCCAGTGAATCCCAGGACTCCGCTCCAGGCTGCTGCCATCACGGGGGTCGGGGTAGCCAGTTAGCCCGACTTGCCAAGAGTCCGTTTCACGGGAGCCCGTTATAACGCTGGTGTTCCCAGTGTAGACCAAGAACAGTCTCTCAGTCCTCTGTGCACACCCCTCCATGTACAAATCTTGCTTCGCACGTGGCTGCTAAAGCTGAGTCCCACTGAAACCAAAGTAGCAAGAAGGGAGGGTGACATGAAATATTTGGAGGGAACAGACTCTGGAGTAAATAGCATCAGGACCAGGATGCTCCAGGGCTTGTTGCAACCGAGGCAGATACTGACATCTGTGGTCCTTCTGGAAAGTGCCGTTGTGCTTGGAAGGAAGAAGGGAGCCAAGGTTGGTATCTGGTGGTGTGGTTAGTGGGCACAGGTCCCTGCTCCCAGCCAGGAAGCTTCCGGCTCCATTTGTCTCTTTCAAGTAGGGAGGTAAAGCATTCAGGAGTTTGCTTTCTGGATAGAGAAGGGAGTTAATTGTTCAGGGGATATTCTTTCTCTCAAGTCAATTGCCCATTGTGCATTTTTAATTGTAGGTGCCCCACCCCTGGCTGTGATGGCTCTGGGCACATCACCGGGAACTATGCTTCTCACCGGAGGTAAGCTAGGCGCCTGTTCTCTTCCGCCCTCGCCCCTTACCCCCCAGGCATCGGTCAGCTTTGCGCACACTCAGTTTGGCCCACACCTACATACGGTCTACAGACTTGGACTGCAGAGCAGCGCCATCCTCAGGGGGTCCTTCCTTGGACAGCAAGCGCACCTCCCCTGGCATGCACCAGGCCCCACCCGCAAGAACGTTTCTCAGCTCATCCAGCAGTAGCCTTTCCAAATCGGAAGAGTGCAGGGAAAACACCCATCGCGGGCATATTATAAGGTCCCTGGGACAGTCACTGAGAGGCAAGCGTTCCAGCACCACTGGGAGTTGGCCTCTTAAACAGGAAGATGTGAGCTGCTGGGCTGTCCAGCCATTCTAAGCGTGGAGCAGAGCTGGAGACGTGCTCTATGGGATTCCTCGCAGGCCCTGGGGCTCCCGAAGAGAAGGGAGTGTCCGAAACGCAGCATAGAGATCCTGTCACGTATGCCAGGCCATATGTCAGAAGTGAGTTGAAAGAAGCTTTGGATACAGTGTCTTCACAAAAGTGGATCCAGACCTGTGGCCAGGTGCTCCAGTTTCATGTCCTGTTCCATTAGCGGCAACGAGCCAGGGCCAAGGTAAAGACAAGGATGTTCATGAACGAGGACCCATCCAACAATGGAAAACAGTGCTGCACCCAGAAAATATGGACGCTAAGTTACACGGTGCTGTCGCCTTGTCAATCTGAGTTTCAGATAATAAAGTGGACGTTCCTAAAGTCGATGAGCACTTGCGCTTCAAGTGTATCTCCCACAAGAAGAATAAAGAAGAGGAGGGGGGGAGAGAGAGAGAGAGAGAGAGAGACGGGGGGCAGAGAGAGACGGAGGGGGGAGAGAAGGAGAGAGAGAGAGGGAGGGAGGGAGGCAGGGAGAGGAGAGGCCTCTCAGAGAGAGTGTGAGCCGTGGGCTGCCCACCAGAGGGAGGGTGTTTGCCAGCCAAGCCCAGTGAGTGGATGGTGTGGAGCATGTGGCCGCCCGCGTGGCCCGGTCACCGTGGTCAGAGCAGGAGGCGCTCACTGGCTGCTAACACGGTTCGGACGAGGGACACAGCTCCCGTGGCGGGTTGCTTCCTCGCGGGAATCCTCCTGGGAGCCTCGCACTTCTGTGCTCACAGTGCAAGCAGGTTTCGGCAGCTCCGGGCTGGGGCACGCACAGACTCGGAGTGCCCACGGGAGAACTGAATTGTGGGGTCATGGGAGGATTCTTCACGCTCCCCCTCTCCGCCCGGGCTGTCCACCTGGGTGCTGCTGACACTTGGGGTCGGAGGGTGCTCTGCTTTGGGGCATCAAGGAACCTCCGGGCTCTACCCACCAGACCCAGCAGCACCATCTCCACCGCCCGTGGCAACGCAAGAAGTCTCCAGACGTCACCAAGTGCTCGCTGGGACCACCCCCAGAGTCAGGGGCAGCCTTGTCGTGCTGAGGCGGTTGACGGGGCCGGGCGGAGGCCGCCGCTTTGCGGCGATGCAGAGATTGTCACCACCTGCAGTTACCTGCCAGAGCAACATCGCTGCTTTAGAGTAAATTCAATTCAATTAAAAACTCCAATTAAGTATAAAAACTCAAGCCCATTCTATGCTACTCTTTATTTTAATTTACCTTGAAAAGAAATGTCTGAGTGCTCACGTGGCCAGAACTTCCAGTGTCAAAACGTGAACAGTTGCTGGTCACTTGTGTCCAACCACAGCAGGAGCTGTACACAGGCCACAGCCCTTGTCCACGACGACAACAAGGATCTTTTCATGAACCAGTCCTTCCCCAGCTGCCCAGCGTGGTCCCGCCTCCTGGGCTCCCGAGGGCCCCTCACCCCCCTGACGCATCATCACTCACGCAGGGCAAGAGACCCCAAGGCCAGGAGGTGTCCCCAAGCGTGAAGCTGCATCTGTGCTTTCCAAAAGCCTGTGTGTGCCTCAGACACCCCGGGACTGCCTCGCAGGCTCACAGAGCAGCCGCACACAGAGGGTTCCAGGATGTCCCCTCATGACAAAGACAGTGTCTGCTGAGCACCTGCTACAGGCACCGGGGTTACTGAACACTTTGCCTCTCTAGTCTCGCAGTGCTATGAGACTGTTATCTTTGCCCTGATCTCATGGAGGAAACCACACAGCAACCACATCGCCACCAGTCGAGGCCTGACTCCCTGGGGCACGTCCACATGCCAGGCACCCCAAGCCATGCCTGCCTGACGCAGACAGGTCACCGGGGCCTGAGTCGGCAGCAAAAGGAAGGGACCAGGGGCTCTCCAGGTGGGACCGGGGTCCCAGGCACAACAAGGACACTCCTCGGGCCTCCTCAGCATGGCCGTCGATCCCCACACGGGCACACATCTCTTCAGCCAGACAGTCAGGGACGCAGCGCCTCTCTGTCCACCATGGTGAGTCCCCCACACGGCGCTCCCTAAGTACCCACCTGGACGCTGCCCACGCACCCCACCCCGGCCTTGCCCCCACCCACAGAGGGCAGGGGTTCTGAAAGTGTTGGCGGTGTTTCCAAAATCCATGAGATCTCAGATCAAGACTCAGACACGCCACGAGCCCCCGCATCAGCGACGTGGAACCATGGGACATCTTTGTAGGAGACGTCATCGTGTAGAGTACGATACAAATGTCACCCAGGATTCCCGGATCCAAAAGCGCGGCTCGGAGGTGACGGGCTCATCCAGGAGGCGATCGGAGCCCGGAACGGAAGCGGTGACAGCTGGCACAGCGGGGGTTGTCTGCAGGTCTCCCCACCCAGCCGGCAGGGGCCAAGGGCACACAGAGTCCCCGCTGCGTGAACGGCCCGGACGAAGGTGAATGAGCACACAGCTCAGAGCTTGTGGCTTTAGTGGTACGTGCTACGTAAGTGGATGGCATCAAGCACAGTGCACATGACCCAAGGGACAGGGCTCCCTGGGCTCCCAGGCCTGGCGGTCAGCAGGGACCCCCCACCCAGGAAGACGTCTGGGACGATGCGCCTGCGAGCAGACAGATGGAGTGGGGGCGGGGGCCGCGGGGACAGACACCGGTGGCAGGGCCAGGCCCCAGGAGCCTCGTGAGCACGTGGAGGAATTTGGCGGTGAGCCACTGGAAGGTCTTCAACAGAGAGCCTGAGTGCAGCTCCCGTGAGCGCCGGCCTGGTCTAATGCAGTGTCTCAGAGGGAGAAGGTGGCCGATTTCGAAGACGGACACGCTGGGCCCGTGGCTATAGCAAGGAAAGAAGGGAGGGGCACAAGGAGCGTAAGCACGGTCAGGGCCCCAGGGCAGGCAGGACGTGGACCCGCAGATACCGAGGCTGCCCCAGGCTCCAGAGGAGCATCCCAGGGGCTGCAGGTGGTCCCCTGCCTCGGGCCAGGAGCGCCCGCCGGCTTCAGGTCACGGTGACCTGGGCAAGAGCACTTTTCCAGGCAGAGATGAGGAGCCAGACCGCGGTGAGGGCAGCTGCTGAGCAGTCAGAGGTGGGGCAAGAGGACCCCCACTTTCCTAGGTTTTACCTCAAAATGGTGTTGGCGGGGGTGAAGGTAGCTGGAGAGAGAAAATGCAGGCATACCTGGTCTTTCCCGTGCCCTTGCCGAAGGAGACAGGTGTGAGGGGGGTAGGAGCTCATGCCGTTGGAGACAGGAAGGGCTGGCCTGGGTGCCCGAAGCCGCAGCCCAGAGCCCAGGCCCCCCACACCCGCCCTCTGACTGCGGGTGCTGCTTCTCACCGCAGAGGAGCCCAGCGGCCTCACAAAGAAGGAAAAAGGCAGAGGACACGGGGTGCCAGGGACAGGCCTCCCACGGATGGAGCCGCACCTGCACCTGAGAACCCGCGTGCTCAGGAGGGAGCCAGGCCTGACCCGGGAAGGACACACCGCAAGCCCAGGCCCAGCAGGAACAGCGGCCCGAGCCCCACCTGGGCCATTGCCGCGTGTCTGCCCCAGAGTCCGAGGCCACGTGTCCTGGGTGTCTCAGTAAAAGGCCTAGTTTCTGGTTCTTCAGTTCTTTGCAAGGAATCCCGTTCATTCCATATATTCTTGTGTATAATCTCATGTAAGAGCCTATTGTCAGGCTATGTGCACGCCCATACATACGTGAGTACTTTTCTATCCAGCTGGAAATTTTCCTATAGGTAAATGTGAGCTTCTATCTCCAAAATTTTGACAATTCCTCTGTACCTTCTGCAGACACACTGAAGTCTATACCATGTTCCCTCCAGAGGGCAGGGCTGGGGAAAACGGGTCACCAAGAGAGACCCAGGGAGTGCATGTTCTCTTCCTCCAAGCGGCCCCTTCTCTGCACCTGGCCGCCCATCCTCTCTCAGCCAGGCACCCCAGCCTCTCTCCACGCAGAGGGGCTGCCCCCAGAAGGACCCTCCTCCCAGAATTTGTGTTCATGGGGAGAAGCTCCGGCTTCTGCAGAAAGCAGGGTCCGAGCAGCCGCTGCGGGAAGGAAGCCAGCCGGCACCGGCAGAGCGAATGTCTCCTGAAGCCCTGTCCCTTCTGTAGTCTTTCAGGTTGCCCAAGAGCAAAGAAAAGCGGCATCAGGATAGCACAGAGCAAGGAAGACAAAGAAGACCAGGAGCCCATCAGGTACAGGTGCAGGGTGGGCTTCCGGCGGGATCAACGGGGAGGAGGGGACATCAGTCACCCCAAGGCCAGATCCAGAATCCGCACCCAGAGCCCCCTTGCTGGCCACCGAATGCACCATCTAAATAGCAGGTGGTGTAGCCAGGGACTCTCCACCATCTGACACTCTTAGTAACGGGACCCTGGACACTTCCCTCTAGCCCTGGGTGGACCCCGGACACTTCCCTCTAGCCCTGGATGGGAAAAGCAGTTCGCTGACTGAGAAAGGCAGATCCACGAATGTCTACGAAGGTATCAGCTCTAACACTGAAAGCCAACATTGGCTGACATTCCGGCTTTTGAGAATCGTGTAGCTACTGTCTGCCTTGCTCTCAGGCAGGCCGTGAGAGTGGGTGCCGGGGGCTTCCAGCACATGGACAAGCCCCTCAGCCTGGCCATCCACCCAGCCGTTTGCCCCAAACTGATGCCCAGAACCCAGGTCCCAAAAATCCCTAAGATAAACCTGGCACTGTCTTCCTGAAATGTTGATCTCAGTGTCTTTGGAGAAAAATGTTTGATTAAAACAAAATAAAAATTAATTAAAATAAAAAGTATTAAAATAAACCTTAACAAAGTAAATGGGCACTATAAATTTTGTAGAATGTAAACTTTGCCATTAAAAAGAAAATGCGAAACCCACCAGTCTGGGGCCTGTGAGGGGCCCTGATTGAATCACACCCACCTTCTTTGAGATAACCATAGGTGGTTGGGGTTGTGTGTCCTTGGCCCCTCAGGAGGTACCCACGGGGGGAGGTTTCAGAAGCAGGGATTAGCCTACCATTGACCTTTAGCTCCCACCAACGATTTTCCCCTTTTATTCCCCCAAAATGTACCGATGGTGTACCATGTACCTGCACTAGCCAGACTTTATGAAATACTATCTCGCCTGATTCAGATACTCTCTGGCTGGAGGCTGTTTGATGGCCTGTGGAGAACACAGCCAAGCAAACAAATGTTTTCTAGCTCTTGAGAAAACCATGGGTTTATAAAATCATAAAAATTAATCCTGCAATTTCTCCTTGACTTTGCATTCTTCTACCATAAAAACTGTGATTCTGTCCAAAAGTGGTGTCTTTTAAACAGACACCTGCACCTCACTTGCTACAAGGCACGGATTCTTTTTCCCATGCTGGTGTGCAACATTGTTCACCAAGAGCAGACACTCTGCCCCAAACAGCCCCCTCCATAGGCAGCTGACCCGTCATTCCCACAACACGAGGTCCCTCGATTCGCCGCTAGGTGGTACTTTCAGAGATTTTCCTCTGTCTTTGTCTTTGCTGGAGTAGAGCGTGATGGTTTTTCTTTGAGCCAGGTTATTTTGACCTTGCTGGAGAGGCCACCAGGTATATGGCGCCAAGACCCCAGAGTGTGTCTCTTCTGCTCCCCAGATGTCCCGTTCCCGGGTGTGATGGCCAGGGCCACATAACCGGGAAGTACGCCTCCCATCGAAGCGCGTCGGGGTGCCCCTTGGCCGCCAAGAGACAGAAGGACGGGTACCTCAATGGCTCGCAGTTCTCCTGGAAGTCGGTCAAGACGGAGGGCATGTCATGTCCCACGCCAGGCTGTGACGGGTCAGGGCACGTCAGCGGCAGCTTCCTCACACACCGGAGGTGAGTGGCCCCCTGTCCTGGCACCGGGCCCGGGCAGCCCCGCCAGCAGTGTCCGTCACGGCCTAACTTGACACCCCCATTTAGAAAGAGAAGGTGGAACGCTGCTTCCAAACTCATGACCTTCTCCGGCAAAGAGGGGAAAACCCTTGAGCGTGTTTGAGAAGCAAATCTCCTTCCTATCCTGGGTCAGGACAGAGGCTTTCAGAAGTCTTGGATCAGGATCCACAGAGAGAAACAGGCTGGAATTCTGCACACACACGAGTATCTGTAGGTTTAATCCTTTGGGCTAAAGATGGTGGGCAGGCTGCACGCAGGGAAGGAGGATGGTATTTGGCACAGGGGCCTCATGTTGCATGCCTGGGCCAAAAATGCATCAGGACATTTCCAGAAGAGCCAATCACCCCATTAACTTTTACTCCCTTACTTTTAGAAGAAATATATGCAGTTCGATTATCTTAGCAGAAGAGGCCTATCCATTGAATCAAAGGGCGCTCTGTGGGTCCCCATGGATGGGTTAGGGTAGGCAGTGTAGACAAATCACAGAGGCCAATGGAGTAGGTTAACCGGGCGTGGTGTCCCCAGCTTCGTGGAAACCAGGCTGGAAGGAGAAACACAGTAAAGCCAGGTCCAGCACAGAATGAACCTATGTCAGTTTGCAAACCAGGAGTCACGGGAGGTTCAGGAGTACGGAATGAGCCTTGAGATGTTCCTCAAGAGGAAGGTGGATTTTTAATTGTTAAAGAAATTCCTGCTCAGGTAGAGAACTCAGATGGGATCAGGGAGCTTGAAGCGGAAACATGAATGCCTTTCCCTGACCTAATCTCTCAGCAACGGCTCAAGGCCCTGGTGTCCCCCGCGGACAGAGGGGCCCATGCAGCCCCACACAGGCGCACGTACTCTGGGCGTGAACAGCGCCCTTTCTGTCTCTGTGCTCGAACGGACCACACCGCTCGTACTGGTATAGCCCCGGTCCTGGTGTACAGACACTGGCTCCAAGCCCCGGGGTTTGCCGCCTGCCTCTCTGGCCCAGGCCCCTGCCGAAGCCACGAGGTCCCCAGACGTGACCCATGACGCCTGCCCCGCACGAGGGCCACCAGCTCTGCTGGATGAGCTGAGGCTCTGGTCTCAGCCCCACACTCCTGCCTGCATGGGGCCTGGGAGGGGGGCATTGCAGGGAGGTCAGAGGGCATTCAAGTCAGGGCTCCTGCCGTGGTGGCTACACAGACCGGAAGGTTTCTCTGACTGTAAAGTTGAGTCAGAACGCTGTGAATGGCTACCTCACTGTGCCTGTAGGCAAGGGCTCTGAGCCCACAGGTGTCGGGTGACTGTACGTGAAGGAAAACAAGCCAGGGGGCACGTGGGGAAAGGGGATGAACAGCACTGTGAGCAGAACCGACGGCATTTTGCTTCCATTGTAGTAAAAAACACATCTTCCCACCTTAACTATTTTGGGGTGCGCAGCTCAGTGACATTGAGGTCACTCATGATGTCATGCAGCATCCCCACCATCCATCTCCAGAACTTTGCCATCTTCCCAAACTGATGCCCTGTCCCTGTAAACCCACACCCCCACCCCGCCCCTCCAGCGCCTGGCGCCCACCATCCACTTTCTGCTTCTACACATTGGGGTCCTCCAGGGACCTCCGATGAGTGGGATCATGCAGTTTGTCCTTCTGCCTCTGGCTCACCTCACTGAGCACAGTGTCCCCCATATGTGGCAGGTGTCCAAATGTCCCTCCTTATAAGGCTGAACCACATCCTATTGTTTTCATTTATGCTGTTGGGCGGGCAAACCATGATTCCTGGACGGTGTGAGAACAGTCCTCCCGGCAAGAACCTGGCCAGGGGTGCAGACATTGTCTCCTGGAGGCTGTGGCCCCGCCATGGGGAGCAACGGTCCGTGGTCCTCCCAAACCTTAAGGCCTCAGTTAGGAGGGGCCCTGGGAAGACCCCATTGGTGTGCTAAGACGCGGGAGTCTTCCTCTTCCCCTGTGCTGTGAAAACAGCAGGTTTAGAATCAGAACGAAAGACCCAATGGACACAGAAATGTCCCGTTAGTCCCCTTTCCCCCAAACTGTGGTGGCTCCTCAGGCGGTAAAGGGTGGTATCTAATGGTGCCAGGATGTAAACAGCAGACGAAGCAGGAGCATAGGTCTGGGGCTTCGGGGCCACGGAGCCACTGCCCCCAGTTTCTTCCTCAGGGAGGTCACGCCCGCGGGGGCCGCGGGGGCCGCGGGGACAAGGACAGTCAGAGCCACGGAGCTCTGCGTGCCCACCATCCCCAGGTGCTGTGAAACCGTTTCATTTATTTTGTTCCTTCAAGGCTGGGAGCCACGCTCTTGGGGCTCCAGTCCGTGTCCTGAGCAGGGCCGCTGTACAGGACATGGACAATGTCTTATTATATCTTTAGGATCGCCTGAGTCTTCCTGAAAAAGCAGTGTTTAAGATGAAAAATGAGTCATTCAAAACGAGATACTTTCTCATATAAATCAGACAAATTTCTTTTGGGATGTATCTCTAACATTCGTAGAGCTCCTTGCTTTCTGATTATTTGGCACATTTTTATAGCTCATGCCCTCCAGGCCCAAGGGATGCTTGTCGAGTCTTCGGGAACAACTGAGCCTCCCCGCCGGGGCTGCTCCCCATCCTCATTTCGAAGGCTGGCCGTGAGCAGAACGAGCGCGGTCCCCCAAAGTAGCAGCAGTGGGCCGTCCAGTGGCCGCACGCGCCTCCCGGGGGCTGTGCAGAGGGTTCCAGAAAACCCAGTTGGGGACCGCGAGGCAAGGAGACCCAGTGACCCAAACTGGCCTGGGAGAGGCCAGAGGGCAGAGGGCAGGTGTCAGAGGGGCGAGCGGGGATGTGGCTGTGGAGGTAGAAGAGACGCGGGGTGGGGGGCCAGTATCCCCCAAGGGCTCGGGTGGGGGCGCAGCCTCAGGAAGAGAGAAACGGCCTGTTATCAAAAAGGGAAAAGCCAGGGACAGAAAGCCACTGAAGAGCCTGGCGGATGGGCAGGCAGAGCTCGGGGGAGGTCAGAGCCTGGGCCGGGGGTCAGGGCAGGTGGGCCCGAGGAGAAGCTGCCACGGAGAGGGGGTCAGTGGGCAGCGGGCGGGCAGCGGGAGGGCCCTCAGGACCTGGTGACCATCCAGCAGCTGCCTGGGGGACAGCCAACGGCGTGTGAGAAAGCTAAGCAGGCGGCATCCTGGCGCAGCCCTGGGGAAACACCGGGCACTGGCTCACCAGGGCCACTGAGAGTGGGTGTGGGGGGCAGGGACGGGCAGGAGCTGGGAGAGGCCGGCTGACGGGGCGCCCCACGGCCCAGCCTGCCCCTGCCGGTCCCTCGACCCGGCTGCGTCTCTGGGACACCCTTTCCTCCCGGCCCGTGGCTGAACGCCACTCCCTCCTCGCCTTCACACCTCTCACCTCCCTCTCCGCCTCCCCTCTGCCCTGAAAAGGCCTCCTCATCCTCCAGCATGTGTGGGGCTCCCCGTGTGCCCAGAAGCATTGCAAGCACCTTCCGGGGTTAACCCTCGGAGTCTTCATGGGAGCCCAGAGACACAGGCACCATCGTCTGCCCAGTTAAAGACTAGAACTCAGGCCAGACGGGTGACCTGCCTGCAGGGAGTGTGTAAGTGACACAGCAGGACTCACACCTGGGCGGCCTGCCTCCTGCCTTCCAGGCCCCTCCTCTGAGCTGTGCGGCCGCCCCTCAACCTTCCGCGTATTTACGGACCCGGCGACACAAGGCCCACTTCCCTCTCCCAGCCCGGCGGTCCCTGCCCTTCGTGCCCCACCACCGAGTAACGGCAGGTTCTGCCCTGCTCCGCTGCAAAGGTTTCTATCCATGGGACCATTCCCTGGTCCCCCACACCCACAGCACCTCGCTTGGGCCCCACATACAGGCATTTAAGAAATGCTGCCACACATCAATGAAAATAGGAAGGAGGGGTGTGTTCATTCGGTACAGAGCCTGGCCTCATCCGAGTAGGGAATGTTTCACCAGGTGGGAAAAGTCCCGAGGCAGCAGGCTCCAGACCACAGTCCGGGCGCCAGAGGCCTGAGGTGGAAGGGCAGGACAGAGGGGGAGTGCTCCACCAGAGTCCCCCTGAGCCCAGAGCCCCCTGCCCAGTGTGGGGAACAGGTGCCGGAGGCACATGCAGGCCGAGAGGGGGGAGGCGGTGTCCTTAGCTCTTGCACCTGCTTCTTTGTGTGGGAGTGTGCAGGCGGAGCGCGTCTCTCCCATCCATCTTACCGCGCTTCCAATAAGATTAGGAAGGGCCCACAAAATCAAAGTCCCTAATGCTAAACCTGGAAAAGTAATAAATAATCTTAGAACTAACTCTTAATAAGCAATCTTAGAACTTGTCTTATCTTTCACTGGGCTTGACCAACATGAAATTTTTTCAAAAAGGTCATGCCTAGACCCTCTTAAACTTTCCACCCAGACCCAAAACCTGATTTATTTTATTTTCAGGTTCCTTACAGTTCATCACAAACAGGGAGACAGCCTTTTCCTGAATGTTTATTTTGCTTGATACTTGCCAAGAGAATTGCATTAAAAATAAGTCCCCGTCCTGAGTATTTACTCCGTGAGTTATTTTATAATCAATCAACTCACGCAATGCTCTGGAGGAGCACCTACCACTTGCTTCCCTTCAGCCCCACGGGTACACCCAGGGCTCAGCAGCACCAAATGCAAGGGATGCTGGGAGATATAGTCTTCGCAGGGGATGCTGGGAGATGTAGTCCACCTTTGGGATGTGGGGGAGATGGAGTCTTCGTGGGCCCAAGAAGAAGGGGAAAGCTCTATGCTATCCTGCTTCCGTCGGATGTTGAGAAGCCACAGTTTTTACAAACACATACATAACCAGTGAGCCACAGCTCCCTGAGATCTGTATGGTCCCGATTTTAGATCAGACAACCAACGCCAAGAAGGCAACACGCTCTGCCCTGGGCACACGGCCCATGAGGAGAAAAGCCCGTCAGGCAGATGTCACACATGG